TATATTCTGTATGTGAAAGGTCGCTAGTGCATTGAGTCGCACCATAAAGTATGTCACCACCAAAAAGTTCAGCATGCCCTTAAGCAAACATACGTGCAGTAAGAGAAGCTTCCAAACATAATCTCATTAACAAATGTTGAACATTCGTACTAAACAACAAGGGATTATCATCCAATTTAGTACTCAGTTAATAAATCCCGTTAACAGTGTTGCTTTTACCTAAGAAATCTTTTTCTGAGTATTTTAAGAAACAAAAATTGTACCAATTAGCCTCTAGGTTTGCTCTACTGACGCATCTTCTACAAGATATGCAGTCGAATTCTGAGACGATTGATCCCCAGCACTTAGCGAGCCCATATAAACTTTTATTCGGTTCTTGTCTGTCAATGATTACAATTACATTTCCTAGCTCAGCTGTTTCTCTATTAAATTTTGTTGGTATTGTCGCCAGGATTTCCTCATATGCCTCATTGTCTGGAAAATCTGTGTGACCAAAACAATTATGACCAAGACAAGTTTGAGCATGAACAAAAGGAGAGAAAGATAAGAGACTTACAAGGATTAATAATTTTGAGAAAAACATTTTAGTTAATAACATAGAACTTAAATTCAAATTTTTTTTTTAAGACTGCATAAAACAAAACTTGAAATTATAAAAGAGTGCAACTTCTATTTATATAATATGTATAATATATTTAATATTAGTACTATAGATGTCTATTATAACACATTATAAGCTTTCGTACTTTAAAAAAAAAAAACCAAGAGCTCTCTTCTATTTATATAATATGTGTGATAGATTTTATATTAGTACTATAGATGTTTCTTGTAAGCTTTCGTACTAAAAAATAAAATAAAATAAAATAAAATAACCCAACCTTCCTCCAAATTTAGAGTTGGCTTCTCCCCACCTAAAATGGGTGTTTTTTCCATGAGCTTCGTCTCAGTTCTAGAGCTTCTGTCTACTCTTTGTTTCCTCTCCATTTCTATGCGAGTGTTTAAAAATGCAGAGACAAACATGCCGAGTACAAGTAAAGTATCAAATTGAAATTAATTACACTTCAAAATGGTTGTTTTTTTGTTGCTAAATTTAGAAAGGGGAAGGGGGAACTTACACACATAGTTACCATGCACATGAGAGCACACCAAGACCTAGACCAATCCAACACACCCTATTGGTCCTAAATTTAATGGTTGAGTTGAAACGCTTTATTAAACCTAAAAGAATAGCTAGGGTAGTAAACTTGTATTTATGCACCCAAGTTCGAATCCCTCCTTGTAGATTAGATAAGTTCAAATATTTTTATTTTGGGCCAAAGTTAGGAAGGGAAAGGGGAGTTTTTTTCACACACAATGCAAGGTGTCATGAGGGACCACTAGTCTACCAGTTAAGGTCTTTTTCCACTGGGATTGATCCCATTGACAATTCAAAAGAGCAAAGAAACCTAAAAAAACGGTTAAACCTAAATTCGAAAATGGTTGTGCTTATCACAACTGAAATCCTATACATAATTCCTATTTTTATACGGGAATATGTGTGTGTGTGTGTGTGTTATAGTCAATATTGACAGTGACTAACCTACCGAGGCGCAAGGAGGTGTCCACCAATTGTTTGATTAAATGATTGAGCGAGTTATTCTTTGCTGCACGCAGCGTGCATCCTCTTTTTTTAATTTTATTTATAATTCTTTTATAAATCCTAAACAAAATGACGTCATTTTGAACCAGGACAAAAAAAAAATTTGGAGAAGAAGAAAAAAGACGTAACCTGCCTATGACTTATAGCTTGAATTGAAGACAAAATCACCCTTGCATTGAAGGAGCTAGCCCAAGCCTTGGGTTGAATTGATGATAACTTGATTATTATTGATATGATAATAATCAAGGCCTGGTACTCGAGACTTAAGGCCTCGTTTGGTAGGCTAGACTAAATTGGATTAGATGTATTACACTGGACTGGTTAGGATATGACTGGATTTTAAACAATTGTTTGGTGTAATAAACACCAAGTTGAGCTTGTAGGACTAGAACAAAAATAGAAAATTTTAAAAAAATACAAAAAAATAAAATAAAATAATGAATACAATTCTCAAAATTGCAATTTGACTAATCTACTAGTAAGAATCGCAAGGCTCCTCCTTTTAATCATATCTCAAGCTTGGCCGGATCGATTGGAAGATGCGATGATCAGCTATGCCGATGAGATAAAAGTGCTGTGAAATGGCAACGTCAGGTTGACTCGAGAAGAGAGAGAGAGAGAGAGAGAGAGAGAGAGAGAGAGTTCTCGCGAATCAAAGGAGGCATGCTTGCAAGATGACTCGGTTGGCTTCGAAACCCATATATACCGATTGGTTCTGGAGCCCTTGCTATTATGGACTGGTGTCCAGTAACCACATCCAATCCATGATACATTATAAGCCCACCAAACAATGGCTAGAATCCATGTCCAATTTAATTGAAAAAGTCTCATCCAGTCTAGCCCACCAAACAGGGCCTAAGAGCTTTGACTCAAGGTCTAGTTTTTTGTTTTTCTTCTTCAGTTCGTACGATTGACAAACTTGAATAGGAAGAAGCGGTGGCACAAGACTTGAGGCATGATCAATTATTATTTGTTTGTTTGATTGATAACTTGATATTTATTTTCTTTAGATTAATTGATGATTTGATATTGATTTTCATATTAATTGATATACTATATAAATTATAGCTCACTCCTTTAAATAAATAAATAATAAATAATAAATAAAAAAGCTTTTTAGCCTTTAAAAATTACACCTCCGCTGAAAAATTCCTAAGTTCATCAATGAATATTGAATTTTTTTTTTTCATGTACAAGCGAATTGGCATTCAAACTTGCAAAACAATTCTTATAAATACTAAAACCTATGGGCTATAGCTACTGGGCGAAAGAAACCTTTAAAATATATGTTATATTAATATAGGATTAACTACAATTTTGTCCCTGAAGGTTTAGGGTCAGTATCGAAATGGGCCTCGAAATTTCAATTTCATCAATTTCATATTTGACATTTTTAAAATATGACTAATTTACACCAGCCGTTACATTGACCGTCATGCCAGACGTTAAATGTTAGCGTGGCGGTTGTAGGACCCATCACAAATCCTATTTCTCTCTCTTCTCATTCGAGACAGTGATTGTGCAAACAGTGACTGTTCGTCGTCCCAATGACACAACGCCGCTGTCCGACCGCCTCCAACTATTGGACCGATCGAAAAATGATAGGCTACTTCTAGCGACCATGTCTCGGCCAAGGCCTACCTCTCCAGTTCCTCACGACGCCAACGCGAGGTTGGGAAGGGAGAATGAGGGTTTCGCCTTCCGACACCGATTCGGGCGACTTTGGTGGCCTTTGACGTCGATTAAGGTATGGTTTTTCATCCCCTCCACGTGTTCGTGCTGTTGGTATATGTAGTTTGAATCGATTTCATGATTGAGAGTTCGAATTAAAACCCCCATATTGGCCGACTGTTTAGGCCGTGATTTACCCAATTTCGGTCAATTTTGTGTTGAGGTCCAAGAACAAAACTTGCTCTTCTAGTTAGCTGGTCATTTTTCGACCGGTCCCGTAGTCTGAGGTGGGCGAAAGGGGGCGTTGTGTAGCTGAGAAGACGAATAGTCACTGTGCAAACAGTAACTATGTCGAAGAGGAAGAGAAAGACTGGAGGAAGAGAGAGAAATAAGTTTTGTGGTGGGTCCCACAACTGCCACTGTTAGCATTTAACGTTGGACCTGACGGTCAATGTAACTGCCAGTGTAAATTGGTCATATTTTGAAATGTAAGGTATGAAATTGATAAAATTGAAACCTCGAGGCCTATTTCGATACTGACCCTAAACCTTCAAGGACTAAAATGTAGTTAATCCATTAATATATTATGTGTGTGCAAAATTAAAGGAATGTTGTAGATTTTATTTTTTGTTTGGAGGTGCAAAGTTAAAACAAATAATAATAATCTAATGTACAAAAATGGGGCCCCTTGCTGTGTAAAAGGCACACATTGACAACCCCCAAAACCACCCGTCTGTGATATGATTATGACTAGCATTTTTGCCTATCAAATTGCATGCTTATTTATTATTGGAAAAAAAAAAGTACGGAATTTATGTGTTTCGAATTTCTCAAAGGATAATATAGGAAAATTTATCATCATAGGTCACTAATTTGGGAAATATCCAGCTTTTTCAGGACAATTCTTGAAATAATTGTCAAAACATTTCCCAAAAGTCTTTTTGTTTTTTTTCCTCGTGGATAATTATACTTTCTCCACTGTGTTGACCATGAATAATTAAACATACGTTGAAAGCTCGCTCGTAATATTGAACATGAATTTTTTTTCTTCGTCTATTTTGGTGAAGAATATTATTATTATTTTTTTTCATAACACCATTTTTTATGCTGGAAAGATTATCTTCAGCAATTGAGGTGGGTGGAAGAACATGGGAAGGAAGTGAAGGATTAGAAAGAGATGGTAAACGAGCATGTTCTGCTTGGACTGCACCTTGAATTAGCCATCCATCCTAATATTATTATTAACACCATATGAACTTTCAATTGATTTTCTCCATTGCTATTAAACTTTTCAAATGATGGTTGTTTAAATGGCTAATTGATATACCACTAGAGAGCAGTGGTTTTTATTTATTTAATATTTATAAAACTACAGTTGCGCAAGTACAATTATTTTTTCATTTTTCCAATCCAAAAGTGGTTTTCTCTCCACGCACCCACGGATACACTGAGTTAATGACGGAATGTTTGGACCCTAATCCAAGTAATAACCCTTAGATGGAAAATGGTTTTTATTTTTTTGGAAAAGGCAGATTTCATTCTATTAGAAAGTGGAATAATGGGCACGTAATGGTTTTTTCTTACATTGGATTTCGACTTTCTTGTTCATCACACAAAAAAAAATAAAAAATTATTCTCCATTTCTTTTAGCGGTTGTCAAAATCACACTATAAATATTGCCTTCACATTCTCACTTTTCCACATCCAAAAACACAAGACTTTTGATCGTAAATTAACAGATAAACATCACAAAGTTCTGATACAATGTCTACAGCTGGTCAGGTTATCAAGTGCAGAGGTAAACCCAGAGCTCTTGCTCTCCTTCGTTAGATAGTTCTGCTTATTTCATTCATTTTTACAGAATCCCATTTATGTTTTTTGCTTTTTTTTTTTTTTTTTTTTTTGTTGTTTTCATTTTTCTGATCAAGTTTTATTTTTTGTGTTTTTTGTGCTTTTACATGATCCTGGTGATCTTTTCCTTGTTTCTTTTCTCATTTTGTTAAAGTGTTTTATAAATCAATTAATGATGATGATTGACTTTTGATCTCGGTTTTCTTGGATTGGATTTGATGGGAATGCCAATTTCAGTTTGGAATATTTCTAAACTTGACTGAACAGAAGAAAGAAACCATAACTTTTTTAGTCAATTGTCTTGGCAGGGGACTGATCTTCTAGTTGGTTAATAATATTGATTAAATGGATGTACTGTTTACTAATTGCATTGGCATTTGTGGATTGTAGCCGCGGTGGCATGGGAAGCGGGGAAGCCACTATCAATTGAGGAAGTGGAGGTGGCACCACCACAGAAAGAAGAAGTCCGCTTGAAGATCCTCTTCACCTCTCTTTGCCACACTGATGTCTACTTCTGGGAAGCCAAAGTAAATTTTTATTATACATGTACTGGCATTGTGTTGAACTATATCCATATCATGATGGAAAAAGAGAACGATTTGGTTATAATCTGCCTAATTGCTCACTACATTATTAAGCATGATTGAGCATCTGTTTATTATTTTGGTAACACATGTTTCCCCCCAAATGAAACAAGGGGCCTCTCCTGTACGTGGCATTTTCTTTTGGAACTGAATCATCTCTTTTATGTCACAGGGACAACACCCACTGTTCCCTCGCATTTACGGTCATGAAGCTGGAGGGTGTGTTTGCTAAATTTTGAGTTTCCCTTGTAGACACAGTATTTTTAGTTTCCTAAATTTTGCTTGCTTGGCAATTTTTTGTTTAGAATTGTGGAAAGCGTAGGTGAGGGAGTGACTGATCTCCATCCAGGAGACCATGTCCTTCCGGTGTTCACGGGGGAGTGCAAGGAGTGCAGGCACTGTAAGTCAGAGGAAAGCAACATGTGTGATCTCCTGAGGATCAATACTGACAGGGGTACTATGCTCAGTGATGGCAAGTCCAGGTTCTCCAAGGATGGAAAGCCAATATATCACTTTCTTGGTACCTCTACCTTCAGTGAATACACTGTATGTCATGTTGGTTCTGTCGCCAAGATCAACCCTGCAGCCCCTCTTGACAAAGTTTGTGTTCTTAGTTGTGGAATATGCACAGGTTTGAAACACTTCTCACATTTTAATGGTTACAATGTTAAATAAGATTAGTGGTTTCTTTGTTTTTGTTTTCCTAATAAATTTCTGTTTTGTGCATTTAAAGGTTTTGGTGCCACTGTGAATGTTGCAAAACCCAAAAAGGGCTCATCTGTTGCCATTTTTGGACTGGGTGCTGTTGGTCTTGCTGTAAGTCATTCTTATGTTTTGATCCTCTGTTATGTTGCTTCCTGTTACTAATGATGATTTTTTTTTGGTTCATTTCCTCGTTACTTTTTAGGCTGCTGAAGGTGCAAGGGTTTCTGGGGCTGCAAGAATTATTGGAGTTGATTTGAATTCCAACCGATTTGAGGAAGGTCAGTCTTTCTTAAATATCCATCCAAGGACTTACTGTGCTTCATGTCCGGTTCAGATTAAGTTGTCATCGACTGATTTATCATGCTTTTTTGTACTCACTGGCAGCCAAGAAGTTTGGCGTGAATGAATTCGTGAATCCAAAAGATCATAACAAACCTGTGCAAGAGGTTAGTTACAGACTTTTTTATCCCTTCACCTGTTGAGGAATTGACCTAAAGATTGCCCCTTGTTAATTTGTTTACAATACTGATCTTATTGAAGCCAAATAATGCATAACGACTTCTCCCTTGTGTACTTGATAAGCTTGTGATTATTGGTTAACAGAGACTATTGGACTTTTATGTTTGTGATTATTGATTAGCAAAGACTTAACATTTGAATTTTGACAAAAAGGTGATTGCTGAAATGACCGATGGTGGAGTGGATAGGAGTGTTGAATGCACTGGAAGCGTCCAGGCAATGATTTCTGCATTTGAATGTGTTCATGATGTAAGCAATTATAAAAGTTGTAGGTTGTTTAATTTGATAAGATATTAGAATATGCAACCACATTGTTTTTGAGGTTTAAAACTGAACTCTCCTTCCTCTCTGAATTTAGGGTTGGGGTGTTGCTGTACTCGTTGGTGTGCCTAACAAAGATGATGCATTCAAAACCCATCCAGTGAATTTCTTGAATGAGAGGACTCTTAAGGGCACCTTCTATGGTAACTACAAACCCCGATCCGATCTGCCCGGTGTTGTGGAGATGTACATGAATAAGGTAAGTTCTTATTTCATTTCAAGCATGTTTGTGAATAATTTTCGAACTACCAAGAACTTTGCTTATTTAAATAATGTGTTCTTAGATGGACAATATTTAAGGTTGTGTTCTTTGACTGTTCTAGTTGTTTGAGGACAGTTTTAATTTTCAATCTGATGTTGTAAAACTCTACCTTGTGTACTGATCTTGCAGGAGCTGGAAGTGGATAAATTTATCACTCACTCGGTCCCTTTCGCTGAGATCAACAAAGCATTTGATTTGATGCTTTCAGGACAGTCCATCCGGTGCATCATTCGCATGGAGGATTAGAGCAACTTGGGACTTTTTATGTGATAATGGAGAGAATTTATATATCTATCTGATGTCTTTAAGAATAATTGTGTTGGTCTGGATTTTACAAATTTTGAGAGAAGCAACTTAAGATAGTACGAGGTTCATGACTTTTGTCTTTGATATTATGGTTTTTATGATAATAAAATTTTCTGCATATTTTCTTTAGATTTTCTCCTTTATAAGTATATATTTCGACATGTTTTTTTCTCTCTCTACCAATCTATGGAGGAATCCGAATTTGGAGCTTTGTGCTCTGGTTATATTTAGCATTAAATGTCTGGAAGCATGCCGATGTGCAAATTCTATCTCTGTTTTGGAAGAATCCTGGTTGTGCATCTTTTGAAGGATTAAAGTGAAGGCAGAGCTCCAACCTCCTTGCATCCAACTTCCAAGTTCGAATCCTCCTTTCGTAGATTAGATTCATTCTAGAGTAATTTAGAATAAGTTGAATTCAAGTTGGCCAAGTTCCAAGTTCGAATCCTCTTTTCATCCAAGTTCCAAGTTTGAATTTACATATGGTTACAACCCTAATCCCCAATCACAGGGAATAATTATAGGGCTATACTAGGAAACCTAATATTACAAGTAATTATTACTCAAATACAAAAGTGAACATTCACCCTATCACACATGCTTAACTTGTCCAAGACCTTCAAAAAAACAAGACTCGATGCTGCCTCAGTAAGTATATTAGCTAACTCGTCTTCTGTCCTGATTGCGGGCACTTCAACAATTTTATCCTCCAATTTCTCCTTAATATAGAACCTATCAACTTCAACATGTTTTCTCCAATCGTGCTGCACAAGATTCATGCAGTATTAAGCGCAGCTTGATATAACACAAAATAACTTTATTGGTTGACTCGATGCAAAACCTAAATTTTGTAACAACAGTTAAAACATAGGATCTCACAAATTCTTAGTGTCATGCCCTTATATTCATCTTCTGCAGTCAAACGAGCAACCGCATTATGCTTCTTACTCCTTCATGTAACAAGGTTGTGTCCCACAAAAGTGAAGTAATACGACGTAGAACGTCTATCATCAAATGATCTTACCCAATTTGCATTGGTACGTATACCCTTCAACTCTGAGATGACCATTTTTTGTAAATAAATAAAAAATCATTTTCATGGACTCCCCTTCAAATATCGCAATATCCTCATAACTGCCCTCATATGTTGCTTGCAAGGATCATGCATGTACTGGCTAACCGCACTCAAGGTGTAGTGAAGGTTAGGCTTAGTATGAGCTAGATACTCAAATCTTTCAACAAGTCTATGATATCAACCTTTATCAACCGATACCTGGTTCGGATTAATCTTAAGCAGACATGCTAGTTTCATGCAACAAGTCTATTGTGTACTTTCTTTGTGATAGGAAAATTCATGATTTAGACTGTGACACTTCGATTCTAAGAAAGCATTTCAGGGAACCAAGGTATTTCATCTCAAATTCTTGGGAAAACTAGTCTTGTAACACTTTTCCTTCTTCTGGATCATTTCTTGTCACAACCTTATCGTCAACATACACAACTAGAGTTGGAAGCTTACCCTGCATTTGCTTAAGAAACAAGTTGTGATATGAATTACCTTGATTGTAATTGAACTCCCTCATAGACTTTGAAAACATGTCCAACCATGCTCGTGGTGACTGCTTCGACCCATATAGGAACTTCTTCAATATGCACACTTTTTTATTGTATTTTTTTGGAACGTCACACCAATGAGGGAGATCTATGTAAACTTTTTTTTGTTAGTTCTTTATGCAAAAAGGCATTCTTCACATCAAATTTTTGTAAGAGCCAATCCAAATTTGCAGCTAAGGACAACAATACTCGAATCGTGTTGATTTTAGCTACTAGCGCGAAAGTCTAAGTATAATCAATTCCATACGTATGAGTGTACCCCTTTGCTACCAATCTTGCTTTGAATCGATGAATTGTACCATTAGTCTTTTATTTTACTTTATAAACTCATGTAAATCCCACATGTTTCTTGCCAGCTCGCAAATCAACTATATCCTAGGTAGTCTTCTTTAGGGACTTCATTTCTTCGTTCATCGTTGTTTGCCAATGAGGGTAAGCTAAAGCTTCCTGCACACTATTAAAAATAGATACAATAGATAATTGATGTGCAAATGACTTATTTGATTGAAACAAATGATGGGTAGACACATAATTATTCATAGGGTTCGGGAGGCGACTTCGGGGTAGTTTAGTGTTCCAAGCATCAGTGACCGAGAACGAATGATTATGGGTATCAGAATTAGACGAATGCAGTGGCAAGTAGAAAGACAGCTATGCAGCTGTTGGCAATGGCAAAGATGGAGTGATGGTGATTGGTGACTACACAGGCTGCATCAGACTGTCATTCCCGTCTACATTTTCACATGAATAAGAATCACCACTTCTGTCCAAGTTACTAGCATTTAAAACCAAGTCATTCACATCTACATTCTCATGTGAACGAGAATCACCACTTATGTCCAAGTTACTACCACTTAAATCCAAGTCATTCACTGTTCCTATATTGAAGAAGCTATAATAAAGAGTCTGAACTTCCTTCTAATGCTCCCCCCGAAGTGAGGACTCCGATTAGAGAAAAAAAACATATCATTCTCATGAAACACAACATCCATGGTGACAACATTTTCTAAGTAGGTGGGTGATAGCAACAATACTCTTTTTGATCAAATGCATAACCCACAAAAACACACTTCAAAGTACTGGGATCAAGCTTACTACGTTGATGCTTGTAAAGGTGTAAAAAAGCAACATAACAAAATACTTGAGAGGGAAGATTCGGAACGGGAGGGCATGCGGTGAGAGTGGTCAATGTATGGAATTGTGTTTGGAAATTGATTGCTCAGGACGGAACACAATTGATTAAATAAGCTACAAATGAAAGAGCTTTTCCCTAATATGATGATGGTAAATGAGCTTTAAGTACGGATGCACAGACAACCTCAGGGAGGTGCAGATTTTTCCTTTTGGCTATGCCATTCTGTTGTGGGGTATAAGGACGTGTAGTTTGATGGATGATGTCATGGTGATCCAAGTATTTGCGCAATTCAGAGGTCACATATTCACCTCCATTGTTGTTGCGGAACACCTGTATCTGTGTGTTAAACTGAACATCATGCCATTTTATGAAATTTTGAAACAAAACTCACTTCCATTATTAGTGTGAACCATTTTTCTTTTTTTTTTGGATGGAATTGAGTTTGAACATAGGCAAAAAAGGATTTTAATAGTGGTTGAGTTTCTGATTTGTGTCACATGAGATAAAGCCAAGTAGTACGAGAAAAATTATCAACAATTGTCAGAAAGTAACATGCTCCAGTATAGGATGGAATTTTATGCAGACCCCAAATATCACAATGAATGAGCTTGAAAACATGTTTAATGGAAATATGACTCAATTGAAAAGGTAATCTAGATTGTTTTGCCAACGGACAAATGTCACATGATATATTCGAATGACTAAAAATACCTAAAGAGTTCTTAGCTAATAACTGAAGTCTTTGTTGAGATGGATGACCAAGACGACGGTGCTAGACGACGGAATGGATGCCAGGGTGTGAAGATGGTTGGGAACAATCATGAGGTTTGATGAGATAGTAAGGGCCATCGCGTTATCTACCCTAACTAGTCATCGCTATCATCTCTAGGTCTTGCAATATACAAAAATTAGGGAAAAAGGTTATGGAACAACGAAGTGATTTTGTTAATCGGCTAACAGAAATGAGATTGACCAAGAAAGAAGCAATTTGCAAAACATTGGTCAAAGAAATTTTTGGAGCAAAATTAAAATTGCCAGTACTACTAATCGAAATCCATTCACCACTAGGCAAAGTCACTTGTGGCTAAGATTTATTGCAAACTGATTTAGACAATGAAAGAGCAGTGATGTGGTATGTCGCCCCACTATCAATAATCCATTCTTGCGAATGGTATGAAGGCACACCTGCTGCTGCATTAATCTGAGTTTCGGATGCATGGACCTTGCCGGCATCAGCTGCGGAAGCTTTGCTGGGCATGAACGCCAGGAGCTGCTGGTATTGCTCATTAGACAAGGTCAGCGAAGCTGCCCCTTGAGAAGCATGGACATTGTTGGCTACGACACTTCCAATGTGGGACATTTTCCACTTGCTAGATTTGTCAACTTTTCAATGTGGGATATTTTCCACTTCACATCCCAGCCCCCTTTTTTCTTTTTCTTTTCTTTTTTAATGTCAGAAGAAGGATCAAAGGAGATGAACTCGAGATTCCCATGTATTGAAAGTATTAATGAATGACCCTTACAATGATTGGAGATGTTGGTATGCGCAATGTTTGAAAAAAAAAAACCCCCAAATCGAGATGAACATGAAGAATTGAACCGTTTGATTATTGTTATTTAACTCAATTAATTCCAAAACAAATGATGTCCTCGAACTCGATGTCCATAACGGAGGAGATGGTGGGGTGCTAGGGTTTGGGGAATAAGATGAGGATGAGTCTTTATTTTTAATTTTCATACTGTTTTTAAGCAACTACTTAATACTATTATTTGATATTGTAATAGGTTATACTTTTAATTTTTTGTGAAATTACAAATTTACCTTTAATCTAACGGAAAACTGGATGACGTCTTTAAGAATCTTACGGTAGGTCCTTAATTCACCGAAAAAATTATTATAGGGGCTAAATTGACAATATCCAAATAATTCAGGAAACAAAACTGGTGAAAACCCTAAAAAGAATTTATAAGTATTTTAGACCAAAAAACCGCAAAAACCAACCGACTATTTACCGCAATGCCGCGATCGAGGTAAACCGAACCGCATTTGCGGTATGAAGAACCGAACCACATTTGCGATTGCGGTATTTGATTTTCTAAACTTGCGGTTACCGCAAACCGCAAAGTATAGTCAATCTATGTTGTTTTATTTGATCTTCTTATAATAAAATTTAGTAAACTATATTGTTTTATTTGTAGATAGCATTTGTGCTCAAACAACACAATGAGGTTCTTCGTATACACTCATCACCAACACTTGAGTTTGTAACTTTAGTTTGTAACATTGGTGCATTGCATTTTCCTTTTAGTTTGTAACTTTAATTAACTTTGAATTGGATTTTTCTTTTTAGTTGAAACTTTAATTCATTTTGCTTTGCATTTT